CAAATGGTGTAGAAAGATCACTAACAGGTATAGTAAGATCATGAAAAACCCACTGGGGGCTCCAAGACACCTCCTTTCCTGTCTGCCCTGATCATAGAAAAGCTGCTCTATGCCTTGCTGGTGCTCCAGTTAGTCAAAAGAGGGCCCAACCCAGAGTTCCTGAATCAGGAGAATAGGCATTGCTAGTGAGTTTCCAGGTGATGCTGACATTGGTCAGGGATGTTCCTCTTTGGCACAAATCCTGTGCATAAGAAAGGGCTCTGTGACATTTTACGGGGGTAGAGAGGAATGGGATCAAAAATGAGGTGGGAAAGATGCACAGGACTGTGGTGGTGGCACACGAGTGAATTGGTGGTGAACTGGGATTACAACCAAGATGGAAAAATGAACAAAATGAAGAATGATGTAAAAATTAAAAAATAAAAAAGGGCTCTTTTTTAAGTAGCAGTCCTTCGAAAGTGTTGCAAGAAAATAGAGGTTTCTTCCACAATTATAGTGTCTACAAAGACCAACATGTCACCTGAAGGAGCAGAGGAATTCTAACAAAGACCTAGCTCTCTGGGATAAACTAGGCACCCCCTGTTGTGAGTAAAGCAATGTAGGTTGCAGTTGTGTCTGCCTAAAGTCAGAAGTTTTCTACTAACCTACAACTGGAATTGCTGCCCCGTACGGTAATGTTTAGGAACGTCAAAGCAGGAACCAAAGATTCTAGAGAAGTATATAAATGGGAACAGCTGTGCTGAGCGTTGCTTTGTGCTACTGACATGAGCAATAATGATGAGTGAAGTATGCATGTTAGTACCTAATAGCCCAGGACATCTTCAGCAAGTAAGGGGTTTTTTAGATAAGCAATTGATCTCATTTCCTGAACCTCCTCACCTGTTTGTCGGCCACTTACACAAGCATTACCCAGCACATTGTCGGAAAATTGCTGTATTGTTTTTCTACAGAGTTTGATGACCACAGTGTATAGCTTAAAATAAGCCAGTAAAATCCTGACAGCTTCCACTTAGGGAAGTTATATTAAGACATTGAGCTCCATTCTCATGATCCCAAATATAGCGTTTGTTTCTTTATCTGAAGTAACTTTGAGAATGTTGAAAGTTTTGATTGAATTTATGCTAAAAAGTAGCATAATCAGCTGATGTTTTAATTAACAATATTGAACTCCAGCTTTAGCAGTCCTTCTTGGTGATATGGGTTGAATGACTATTTTAAAATATATTTCTATGTCAACAAAGTGTTTAACAAAAGGGATGTATTTTCCCTTAAAAAGTCACTGATACTGGCCCTCCCTGGTGGCGCAGTGGGTTAAAGCAGTGCACTAAGAAGCTGAAACCACTTCTGCATGAGTTCGATCCCTGCCTGCCCTGGAGGTGACCACATGGTGCAGCAGACCTCTCCTGACCCGCCCACTGCTCCCCTCAGCAGTGTACTTCGTCGATCTGCCTGTTCTGCTCCCCATTCTGTCTCTGGTGAAGTCTTTCGCCACCCCTGAGTCTCTGGCCTGTACCCCAGTTCTGTATGCACAAATAAATAAATCTTAAAAAAAAAAGTCACTGATACTAACTTTGAACTAAATTGAATACTTTCTCTAAGAATTGCTCTTCCTTTTGTAAACTTCCAGACTCTAGAAATTTTCTGTTGGTTCTATGCCTCAGAACCTTGAAACAGCCATGAGTGTCACCTTGACTGTTATCTTAGCTCCTGCTAATAGATCATCTAGAAGTAGCTACTAGAAGTAGCCTGAGGGACCCAAGGTGTCAATTAAAGGGAGGAAAGCATGTACATGTTCACAGAGGAAAGCATGTAAATGTTCACAAAGGTGAAATAATAATTTCATGTAAATTTCCCTTTGAAATCTGTATATTTCATCTGAAATCTGCTCTTTAAAATATGTAAAGATGAACTGCAAGTTTCTTGCACACAGCAGATGCTAAAGGGTGAAGTTTTAGCATAAGCATCCCTGAGTAATCTGTTTATGGGGTACCAAGTTTATGAGAAAGAATATAAGATGCAATAGCCATTACTTGTTCTGATGATAGAGATACAACAATCCTATAAAGACAGAGTGGGGAGGTCACATGGGAAAGTTAATTGTCCCCAGTAATCATCTGGTGATAGTGACAACTTTGGTCTTGTAGCTCAGAATATCATGTGTGTGCAATTATTTGATCATATATGATTTTCTGTTGAATGGGAAAGACTATCTAGGAGATTTTTCCTGTCACACACTTCAAATCAAATCCTTTAGGCAACTGTCTTCTCTCTCCACTGACAAGATTGATGTTGATATAGTAGACATTGGCATGAACCCCTCCTCTCTGACAGTCTTCCATATTGGATAATAAAATGGAGATTCCCTCCTCCATAAAAAAAAAAAAAAACAAAATAGACTGCAGTGATAGCCTTAATTTGACCAAATGATCCCTTATAGTGTTTCCTAAGTAGAGGCACATACATTCTAGATATCATTAGATAGGTATGGGCCACATGCAAAGTCAGCAGAATATGTGTTTGCTTCCATCTCTCTCACAGACCAGATGTTCCTGTGTCTTGAAGAACAGATAATCAGAAGTACAGTTAACTATGCAGCAACCAAGAGGAAACACTTAATAAACGATTGATTCATAGCACTTTTAAATGACTTAGCCTCTTGTGCCTCTCAATGATAAAACAAAGAGGTTAGACTACATGATTTTTAAGGTCCTATTCTGCTCATAAATTCCTATTATGTTCATTTTGTACTTATTACATTGAGTAATTGAGTTCTTTGACTCAAGGACACAATCAAAGGCTCTTAAGATTAAAGAGCATGGAGTTCCTGAAGCCTAAGGATAAAGTGGTGCTTCATCCTGACTGCTCAGGCTCTGGGGCCTCTAGGGGGTTGAGTTAACTGAGATTCCAAAGTCTGAACTTGAATAGCTTAAGTGAAATATTTGGGACCAGTAGCCAATTTACCTTTTTTCTAGAGGTAAAATAGGATGACTGATTTTATTTTACTTTTTAACATTTGAGGAGTACCACAATAAGTTATTCTTTGCTGAACATCAAATAATGCAAAAAAATAATTCTGCATAGTTTTCTAATGAAGTACAATTTTCCCCTTTCAGTGACAGTGACAAAAATTAAATAATCAGGAACCACATTAGAAGTTGTGGCAACTACCACAGTAAAGAATTGGGAATTCTTATTGTTAGCTTTAGTCTTTGAGCAAAGAAAGTTCTTGAAGGGTCAACTGAGAAATGACCAGGATCCCTTTGATTGGCAGGGCAGGACGGGGCAACAGATAGAAGCTTGACTGCAATAACACAAGGTCTGGAAACATGAGTAAAATTTAGGAGGCTAATAGTTGATGTGTAGGCCCTGCTTACAGTAACCCCCTCCAGAGCTGATCAGCAGTAATTCTGTCTCCTTTCTTGACCATAATTTGCAGCAGATCCTACTATTACTTCCTTGGAGAGGTTGATTTGGGGATAAAATTCTGGTCCTCAAGTAGAGATTTGGTGCTAATGAAGTAACCCTTTGGTATGACTCCAAGTCAGAATTGCTCAATGAGTCTGTGTCATTTAATCACTGAGGTCCAGTCTAGACTGGTTCACCAAAACTGTTTGGAAAGACTTTTTTTGGCAAGCAGTATTATATGTACACTGCTCGCACATTAGTATTTATATTGATATCCTGTTGGTGTTACTCTATGACATAAATATATTTGTTTGCACGTCAGTGTAAGTTTAATGTAACACATTGTATGCTGTCATAAACTATTTTACTGCCAAAAACAAACAGGCTGATGCAGTGGTTGGTCAAAGTCGGAGACACACGGCCAAAGCAGTGGCGATAAGATGAATGTCTGACAAACTCAAAGTACAATAAGCAGGCCTGGTGAATGTGGATGGTGTCTGGGTTTCAACTTCCAACAACTGAGTATGTAACTGGGTGGTCCCTAGGAGAAGAGAAGTTCCAGGTTCCCTGCCCCACCCAGAAGGAAGGTGGAGCTGAGCTGAGAAAAAGGAGAAAGAAGAAGAGAGAAGAGAGGAGGAGGCCAGATGGAGAAAAAGACGGAGACCTGAGGAAGCCACATGGAGCAGCAAACATGTGATGAAGAAACCGGGCTTGTTTCCTGACCCTGGACTGGTAAAGGTAGATGTGGGTCAGATACCTGTAGGGAGGTGACCTTGGCAGTGTTTATATTGATTTTGATTTTGCTGTTTTCCTCTCAGATTTGTCTGGCCATTTCTGACCCTTTTCCATGGGTCCCGGCCAGAAGGTGCTTTAGTCTTGTGGCGGGCTTTCAGGCCTTGCATTGGGCCAATCCCTTTTGGGTTGACTTTTGCCCACGAGGGGATGGGTAACTTCAGGTGTTTGATTTAGAAGTTATATTCTTTGTGTTCCATATTGTATATTCACTGTATTAAAGTCACTTTCATTAAAGCTTTATATGTTTTGTCTTGTTGCCGCGGATGGCAGAACCCACTTAGAGCAGGCAGGTTTTGGGGCTTCAGGGGTGTCCCTCTCCCCCTGTCCTCTAATAGATTTGCTGCCCTATAACAAGTAGATGGTGTTGCATCCAACGTAAAAGCAGAAAGCCCCGAGGAAACAGAAGCTGAGTTTTACACAAAGTTTGGGCTGCCTGTAGGGTGGCAGGTGAACACGTAAGGAACGCAGTTTGGACCACAGGAGAACAGGATCGCAGTGAGGGCCCTGGACCGCAGTGTTCTCTGTGCACAGCCAGGCATGAGTGGTAGGAGGTGGGAGAAGATGCCCTGCATAACTCCAGCCCCACGACGGGAGCAGAGACCCAAGGGGGCCCCATACTCGCCCAAGGAGGGCCCTGAGACGCCCTCCTCGCGCAGACCCGCACCCCTTCCGCCCGTTGGGCCGCAGCGCGCCTGCCCCGGGCCACGCCACGCAGGCCCCACTTCCGCTTCCGGGCCCGGGCCTAAGAGTCCGGCGACGCGGGGAGGGGCCGAGGGCTGAGGGTGCTTGGCGGCGGGAGCAGGCAGCCTTCGCGCGCCGGTGGATTCCAGTGAGCCAGCGCGGTGGCCCCAGCCGGCAGGGCAGACAGCCCAGGGCCGATGCGACGGCCACCTCCGGGGCCAGCGACGCTCCTGGGGCATGAGGGCGACATGCGAGGCCTGAGGAAGCGGGGCCGGCGGCCAGGCCCGGGACCCGGACCGGGGCCGGGACCGGGACCCGGATCGGGACCGGGACCGGGACCAGGACCGGGACCGGGACCAGGAGAGTCAGGAGACTGCGGCTCTGAGGTCGGGGGGCGCGAGGAGAGCAGGCAAAAGAGGAGGACGGAGGCCCAGGCGTCTGGGAGAGAATCGGTGGAGAGCGACAAGTCGGGTGAGGTGCCCCGGGCTGGGCAGGCGGGGAAGGCCGAGGCCAGGAGGCAAGTGGAGGGCCCCCAGAGCCAGGTGGGCCCAGAGGTCCTGCTGGGCTTAGAAGCTGAGAAGGAGGCGGAGCTCCCCTTGCAATCGGGAAAGCACAGTAAGAAAAAACGCTGAGGGCCTCTTTCTAGCCTTTGCACCTCTGCCCACTCCATCCTTGCTTGAATTTAACTTAAATCTGTGTGGAGTTTACTGATGTACATTGTTGACCAAGAGGCGTAGAAAAACAGGATTTCTCTTAAAAGGTGTTTAACCAGTTAGGGGCCCTTGGTCAAAATTACTATAAGACATTTCTGTTAATGATCTATTTTCGTTAATATGAAACGATGATGCTATAGAGTTTGATAGCCAGCTGCCTCGCTGCACACAGGTTTGTATGTCGTTCTTGACAAACTTTTTACTCATTGAAAAGCAAATGTGCGTTCCCATGCTGCTATTCAGGGAAATAAAAATGGATGTCTGCAGTTTATTTTATAGTTCATTTTGCTTTTTCTCCCCGCAATATAAAATTTTTTCTGGTATGTTTTGTTGTCTTGACCAGCAAAGGAAAAAAGAAAAGTTACTGAAGCCTCAAGCCATGATCTACAGCCAGGGATTGACCTGGTAAGAAAGGAATCACTAACCAGTTCCGAATGTTTTCAAACAGTGGAGTGCAGTGAATTTCAAAATATGGCTTTCTTGCAGTCTTTGGGTAAGGAGGGCTTGGTAGAAGGTATTAAAAGAAGATTTCAAGTTAAAAAATTTAAAAACATAGAAAGCCCTCCTCTCATAACTGAAAATAAGACTCCACAAAATATTAAGGTTGAATTCCAAGATGAACTGTACAAGAATATGCCAAAATATTCTTGTAACAGCTTGTCACCTGGAGTAGAAACTAATTCCATTTTAAAATTACATGATTTCAATTGTTTCCCCCATTCCAAGGGTTGGAATGATGAAAACAACTTTGCATATAAACATGATGGTGGATGTATGCATGTGCCAGAAAGCTCCTCGAAGAAAGAAAACCTTAGGAGTCTTACAGAGAAGAGTGACACAAATAATAGTTCTCACCTTTTACAAACTGAAGAAAACTTAATGGGAGTAAATAATCTCTTGCTTAAAGAAACTGATTTATACCAAAGTAAAAATAATGGCTTGCTCTCTGGCCTTCAAAGTGAACATACTAAATGTTTAATAGAAGACAGTAGTATTGGGAGAAAACCCAGGAAAAGGATAAAGTCTGAAAAAGAAATGGTTCCTGAGGTGAACTTCTCTAATGTGTATAACAAACCTGAGTTGGTATTACATGAAAACAAAACAGTTGCCGAAGGTAAAGAAGCAGAGACTGTAGAGGGTGAAAAAAGTCCTTTAAAAGATTTGAGAAAAGCAACCCATAATACACTCTCTCCAATCAATCACTTAAGTATTCCAGAAACAGTGGGGGAGAAACCAAGTCCTGAACATCATGTAAATGTTATGTTTCAGAAAACCCATGAGACACTTTTAAAAGAAGGAACAAAGAATGCTTCAGAACCCTTAGGTTGCAAAAACATGGAACCTGAAGAGTATTTCAAGTCACTAAAAAGCCCAATAATGAAATCACCTAGTGATTACCATCCTATTGAAAAAAAATCTTCACGAGAAGACTTGAGAAACGAATCTGAAGAATCAAAGTTAAGCTGTCACAGAACAATACCAATGACTGGTAAAAGAATTTGGCCTTTTTATTCATGTGCTAGAATATCTGCCCAGTGTTGGAAAAAAGCCTCCTTGCCAGAATCAAACTTCTTTCTTCCTGGATCTCAGGAAAGTTTGAAGCAAGATGATTTTCCTAAACACCAAACAGATCAAACTCATTCAGCTGATTCCAAATTGTCATTACAAAGTTCCTTAACAGAAACAAATAGCGAATCTTCAAGTAAGGAAAAATTGAATTTTGATTTAAATGGTTTGTCTTCAGTCTCTGCAGTAGAACCTATTTTAACAGATAGAAAGCAACCTATAATCAATGGTGATAAAAAGATGAAGTCAGAAGAACTGCGCAGAAGTGGGTCAGAGATAGTTTCTAATATCACTGAAGATACTCAGTTAAATAATGTGACTCAAAGATTAACAGGAAGTAAAAAAAAAGATAGAGGGAATTTAACAAAACTTCATTTGACAGTGGCATCCCAGGATAGCCAGGAAGCAAATAACCCTCCAGGCAGAACTGTTCATCGAAAAGCATGCCTTGCTAAACAAACACTTGTGGTTCCAGACTTAGTTAAAATATTGAACACAGGACGACTGACTAATTTTAAAATTCCTTTACTTAAGAATAAAGCAGCAAAAAGAAAAGACATAAAAGCCAAGTCATCAGAGAGAGATGCCTATAGTCCCTTAGAGCTTCTTGATAATTTATCTGGAGCAGAGGTAAGACAGAATAGGAATAAAGAAAACATCTCCACAGTAACTTCAGCACCTCAATCTTTGAAGATACAGAATAATCTAACTCCAGTGCAAACTAGTTCTGCCTCGTGCTGCAGTAAAAATTCCTATGGTATTTCTCCAAGCTTTTTAAAGCAAGATAATGATGATAATCCATCTAACCACATCTCTGAACCAGGCCATATTATTTCTAATAAAGAAGCTATTTCTCTCACAGTTAAAAATAATCCTTTTTCTTTTGATCCTGGGTATATAGAGAAAAGTTCTGCCTTCTGCTCTAATGAACAAGAAATATTTGAACCAGTTTCCTCTGAAGTGAGTGGTAGAAAACTGACTAAGAATTTTTCAGAAATTAAAGTGGGATTTCCAGATATTCTTAAAGCATATGAAGATGATGTCCTCTTAATTGATGTAATTCAAGATGACCCAGACCTCTTTGGAGTCTCTAGTGAAGGAGAGCTCTCGCTTACTTCAGAGGTCCCCATGATAAGCCAGGAACCCAGTGTTGCTGAAGAGCACCAATCAGGAGACTCCAAGCACATGGAACTTGCAGAACAAAAAGAACCACGCGATAATTTGAGGTAGGCATGTTCAAGTACACCTTTTGGGCAAATTGTTGTTGGGAGTTTAAAAAATCAAAACCTCTTTCTACTCTTAGCTGTCACTAACTTAGTAAATAAGTGGAAGCTCAGTGAAGCTGCATTTACATTTTTAAACCCAGTTCTTAAAAATGGACTATGTTATTTCTGAGACATGGAAATGTCATGCTAAAACTTAGTCAAAACAAATGTAGGTTTATATCTTAGATTATAATGGAACAGTGATCTGTTCAAAATTTAAAATGGTTTATAAAATGACTTTTGTAAAATTAGTTGGCATTCAAAAGTCAAATTTTTATGTGTTTTTAGTTATGAATACTTTTATTTTAGCCAAATTATTTTTCATCCATTTTCTGTGGCTACCTTCCTTGTTATATAAATATGCTTTTTAAGGAAATAAGCCTTGGAAAAGTGCTTGAAGACTTGAGAGTAGATTCAAGTGCTAAACTAATTTTCAGGGAAAGCAGCATAAATTTTTTTTGTTACTTTTAAGGTTTTGATTTTAAGTGATGAGTTAGCCCCCAGTAGGGCAAGTTTGCCTGAGGTAACTTTAAATGGAGACAGATAGTAATCTTCACATTGGAACACAGTCTATTCTGGTCAGCCTAAAGTTTATGTGCCATATTTCCCTACATTTTTGTAATTTTTGAGGTCTAATTTATATTTGCCACAATACCTGATTTTAGAATGTTCTGTAAACAGACTAAAAGAGGGTATAAAAATACTTTTTGCTAAGATTGAATGATGCATTGCTTAAAATTCTCTGGTATTTGTAAACTTAATTTCTTTTATTTATTTTATGATAAATTTTTCTCTGTGGTCTTGGTATTACAGAACCTTGTAACTTCACCAAATAGAGTATTTTCAGTATGCCAAATAGGGAACCCAGAGCTTTATATATTTATTTTAAGTGATAGTATGAAGTAAGATGGGAATTTCCCTATTTTGAAGATGACAGGCTGTCACTTGTCTAGGGTCACACTGCTAGTAACAGAATCTAGACTTGAATCCACCCATCTTGCTCAATTAGTGATTAAGAAGCTTAATTTTTATAGTCTGACCTAAATTTTGAATCTTCCTGCCACCTAATAGTTATATGACCTTATCTGTAAAAATGGAAGGTACTAGCCTCAGGGTTGTGAGAATTAAATAAAAGAATGGATGGGAAAGATTTTAGCATAGCATCAAGAGAGTAGTAAAACTCAATGGAAGCAATTATCAAAGGCAATTTAAACTTTTGGTTTTTTGTTTGCCATGCTCTCTTTGAGAAATACAAAGGAATTTAAAGAACATCCTACATTCAAGAACAGACATCTCTGTTAGCTAACAAGATATTGAGTCAGCTATGTTTAGAGGTAGAGAAAGTGAGTTTGTTGTTGCTAAGGACTGGTTCCTGTGCCTGTAATGGTGTAGAAAAATCAGATATGGAAAGCCAAGTAATTGAGGCAAGGAAAAAATTTAATATCTGGAAAGCACTAACTAGGATTGCAGAAGGCAGTCCTCAAATTCACCACCCCACTCTAGAGGCTACCCGATTTTTATAGAATTTTGTGCTTATGTGCAGAAAATCAGAGAATCTATGAGGGTCATTTGGGGGAGTGGTTTTGTGCCAGTTTTGGTTTAGAGGTAGGAAATGGGGTTTGTACACATGCAAGAGCCATGATCAAGGACTGTTTTCTGATTCTATGTAAAACCTTGCTGTAATGGCTTATTGGGTTCCTGAAGACTAAATTAGTCTTTATTCCATAGCTGTGCATTCTTTGGGCTGCAAACAGGTAGATTAAAATATGTCCAGGAGATTGATAATGGCTTGAGGCTTAGCTGGGTTGGACTGAGTATCCTGATAAATGCTGATTTAGTGTTGGAGCTGGTTTCATATTGGCCAGGAAATTTGTATTTTGATTGTGTGTATTTTTTTAAAGATTTATCTATTTATGCCTGCAGAACTGGAGTACAGGCCAGAGGTGCAGGGGTGGTGCAAGGATTCACCAGAAACAGTGGGGAGCAGAACAGGCAGATCAATGAAAAACTGCTGAAGGGAGCAGTGGGGAAGACAGGAGAGGCCTGCTGTGCCCTATGGGTCACCTCTGAGCTGGGGATCAAACTTGCACTGAAGTGGCTGAAGCCAGCTTGCAGTGCTGCATCCCAACCTGCTGGGCTGCAGGGAGGGCCTATATTTTTTATATATTTTAGAGTTTTTATTGCTACATACTTCCGTGTACAGCCATTTGTATTTGAATGGGCTCTTGTAGATGCAGTTTTTATCTATTGAATCTGTGCTATTGGTTTAAGACTATTTTGTCTTATTTAATCTTCACAACCATAGGCATAAGTGGTGTTTTCATTTTGCAGATATAATTAGACTCAGAAGTTAAATCATTTCATAGTTTACACAGTAAGTGGCAGAACAAAATTTGAATACAGGTTGGTCTTAACCTATAGGCTGTGTGTTGTTTTCAGAGACTGCAAAAAAGACAAACTGCTCTCAAACTGCCTTTTACATTGTCAGTTAGACATGCATGCATATGCTTGAGAGTTAAAACTATCTTGTATTGGAATAATTAAAACTTTCTAAAATGCAGCTATATGTTACCAAACTAAGTTTGAATGGCAGCACTCCCTAATTATTTAGGCATATGTGGTTAAAGAACTACAGGAGAAATCTGTATGGATGTGCTGGGTTCTGAGTCCTGATGTAATTAATATTCTGTAGGTTTTGAACTGATATATTCACCAGTCGCTAAAGGTAGTATAACAGTGTTCAGAGAAGTACCTAGTTCTGAGTAGAATATGTCATATCCTTTAAGCTCTGTTTGCTTTTAACAGAGAACTTCCTATATTGGATCCTGAATTGATGATTTCAGAAGTCTGTGCATCCTCCTCAGCAGGTGAAATTCTACAGAGTATGTAGTATTCAAGAATCTTTTTAGATCTCCATTTAGGCCTGGTCTAAATGAATTCATTAACATAAGAATCTGTTTCATTTTAGAATCTGTTAACTTATTACCAACTTTTCTCAGTTTTAAGTGGTTGTTAGATTAGATTTTAAATATTTTGTTTGATTATTTAACTTTATTAGGTTTTATCTATGAAAGTTGACATTAGCAATTTTTTAGTCTTATTTTTAAAATAAAATGTATATTCAATCTTTACCACATTTTAGTTGAGTCCACTTTTTAAAAATAATTATAATTAACACTAAATAAAAGTTTAATTACTTGTATTTATTAGAACTATTATACTATAACTATTGTACTATATTGTTATAAATAATTTAAGTCATAACTTTAAGCCTTAAATATCTTTAAATGATTACAGGAAATTTTTGTTAATTTTACTTTGACTTTCAAGTTTTAACAATATATTGTCAATGGCTGGACATGATGAAAAAGGATGTTTTAATTTATCTTGAAATGTCTGTCAACTTTTAAAAGTCTTTGAATGACTTGTTTACTTTGTCACTTATAGTTTCTACAATTGAATACTGTTTCTTTTCAGCAAATGAGATAAAGCATGAGTCCAAAGATGCAAATCTTACCATGGGAGAAGTTACTGCGGAGACCTCTGAAGATGAAAAACTGGGAGACTTAAGTGAACAAGTAAAAAGTCCAGACTTGGATGAGAAGGTACTAGAGAATCCTTTGTTTTTTAAAATTTTTATTTAGTCACATGTATTGGTTTTCTTTTATGATACTTAATATTTTAATTTTTTTCTTATATTTCTTTGACATTTGAGTTATAAGTCATAGTTAAACAGTTCCCTATTTCAAGATTTAAAATTTTCTCCCACATTTTCTTCTTCTTTTTTTTTTT